CCCCAAAACCCCAAAACCCCAAAACCCCAAAACCCCATTATATATTTTTAACATTGAACTGTCAATTTATACAACTCCTTTACAACAAAGATGATTAGCTCTCTTTTGATTGGGATTTTCTCGCCTTGGCAGAACTAGTAATAAATATTGGTGACTCCACTGTATAGAAATTTTCCCTATAGAAAGTTGCTTCCAAATTAAACCCGAGCCTGGCAAAATTCTTTGATAACAGATATCCTTCCTTGAGCTTGGCTGGTAATTTTAAGAGTACAAAGTTCATATCAGCATCTTTTATGAAGGCCTTGTCTTCTTCTTTAACATCAAATTCTATACAAACAATTAGAAAAATTTATCTTCATATTTCAAGCCAGAAGGGAGCAGATTGAACTGAATTCTAGTCGCCTACCTTTCAACATTTCTACGCTGGTATCAATATCTTCTCTGCCAATAAGGTCATTGTGGAAGTCAATTTTGAGGAATCCCTCAGGCATGTCAAACTCAAGATTTGGCTTGTAAGCCTCAGCTTGTTCTGGAGTCAATGGGATCATTCTTATCCCTCAGTTAGACATATTTGGATTAGTGAATCTGATGTACATATCAAGGGTAGTCTCGTTTTTAGCATGCATTTCCTTAATAGTCACAGTTGGAAAGTTCTTCATAGCTAGCTGGTCAACTTCAAAATATTTATCATCTGCACCCGCCCTTGAAGTGTTTGGCCTAATCAGAAGCTTCTTAGTCCCCTTCTGCTGTTTAGTGACAAATGGTAGAAGAGAGACAGGGATAGGATAAAGCTTAGACTTCTTCCTATGTTGGTTATAAACATCCTTATGTCTTTGTTCCAAATTTGTTAGATCTCGTAACTTCCAGTTGTCTTCAACTATTTGGAACTCTTTGCCAAGGTCAAGTTCCTCAGGAGGCTCTGCAACCTTGGGCTCGATCTTGCCATCAAGGAGCTGGAATGGGATTGGTTTCTCAAGCATGGTCATCTGATGAAACCTTATTTCTTTTCTTTTCTTCTCATCTTCTGCATACATATCATGAGTATATTTGACTCTTTCAAGGTTACTGCTGCCTTTGTTCTCTTCGACAAGGTTGGTTTTCTTTTTCTGCCTAACTTCCTTCTTCTCTCTGTTCATGATCTCATCTTGGTTGGCTTTCAAGTTGTTTAGAAGGGTCAAAAATACTTTGTTCTTTAAATTATCGCCCCTTGAGTCATTAGATACAGAGCATTTAGTCATGATATCCAAAGGGGTTTCTTCAGCAATACCAATTCGGACACTGTTCCATTTGCATGATGTGCACAGGAAGTAGTAGGTCTTCTTATCGTTGATAGTACTTTTGCTGAGTACCACCTTGTTGAATCAGAATGGACAATATAAGCATCTAGAGCATTTGTTATCTAAGGATTGAGAATCTCTGATCGAATGTCTCTCCCCACATGACGGGCAAAAGACATCATCTATTGTGTTCTGGGTGCAGAATCTACAAATTATCTGGTTTTCGTCAAAATTGAGGTACATTTCTTCAATGATGAATTTCCTTCCACATCCACAGCCAACATGAACATAGGGAGGCCTATTCGTAGTCAGTGAGTACATATTTATTTAAATTATATAGATTTGACATAATTTGGGGTTTTGGGGTTTTGGGGTTTTGGGGTTTTGGGG